AAGACGGTTTTCTCACTTTATTTTCCTCTTTTATTTTTTTATATAGTTTTATTAAAATTAAATAAAAAGGATTAAGTGGACAAACATTTTTACCCTTTAAAATTTTGTAGTTTGCAAAGCACACGCCTATTTAATATAGAGAAATGAGGAAACAGACAACAAGGACTATTTGCGCAAGTAAATATTAATCAGACAGTGTAAATGTAAATTTGAAACAATAGGGATGATATGAGCAAGGATGACAAAAAATAGGGACATTTTATGCTAATTACCCTTATATTAACATCCTTAATACTTGCCCACTATTGTCTAGTCTTGCATTCCAAACATGTCATGAATATCTTATCGATCTTCTTAAACCTGCCAGAATTCACCTAGTGGTCATAGCTATTGTCACTTGAGTAATTTTTCCATTAAAATAGCCTACGTCATTGATATTTTTTTGTTTTCGTATGGACCAATCTGAAGTAATGATATATTTTCCTTGTCCTTCAGAACTGCCTTGCTATAAATAATCCAAGAGCCAGAAGTAGTTTATGTGCCTCTCCCCTAAACTGATCCTTTGGCCTTTAAACACTTGAATGCTACACTATAGGAGATGACTAACTTATACAACGTTTTCTATAACAAATTATTTGGACAAATTAACATTTCACTAAATGCTTAATTCACTCACCTTTTTCTTTTAACTTGTCATTTTGAAGGTTACAGCTGATTTAACACCTTTGAATCCTAGAAAGGTGGCTGTACAATTTGATTGTTTCAAAATTGGAGGGCTGGTAAGTGTCGTTTCCTTGTTAACTAATCCTCGTGCATGGTCGATAGAAAATTACATTATTATGTGTTAGTTGTTAGGCAGTTCTACTTTAAATCTAAATTTCACGCACTAACTTATAAAGAATTGGATGCACACAAACAATCATTGGCTTTATAATTAGAGATGTCATTGGTCCTACAAGCAAGTTATACATTCTTGTAGAATTATTATGATATTACATAATATGTTGATCAATGATATCGTGGTGAACAGATACCAGTGAAAGCTCCGGGAAGAGCTCAGGGCGAGCTGGAAATCACTTACTTGGATGAAGAGTTAAGGTCAGTTCATGAACTAGATTTGCCACTCTCAGATTAGATTTTACGACCAAGGCTCTATTAGTTGCAGCTTTTCTTTGTACTGTTCATGTACATAAGATGACTCACTGTATAACATGTCAGAAGAGGGAGAAAGAGGGAGTCGGTAGACCTAAAGTAACTTGGTGTGTGCTAGTTGATAAGGATCTAGAGCGTGCATGGCTAAGCCTGGAAAACGTAAAAGATCGTTTTAGAAAAGTAAAGACTTTGTTTTATAAAATGACGTTGTTAAAACAAACTAGAAGTTACTTCTACTTTTTTTAAGTCAAATAAAGAGTTATTTTAAGCTTATGCATGTTTGGCTTAGCTCAGAAATTACTTTTACTTTTTCCATGCTTAGCCAAATATGTCCTAGTTGCTTTAGATATTCACAATAGATCTAGCAGTGAACCGAACGGAATGGTGAACCTTGCTAGTCTCTAAATGCTTTCCTTTTCCTTTTCACTGTTGCAGAGTATCAAGAGGTGATCTGGGGAACCTGTTCATCCTAAAAATGGTGGATCCTTCATACCGAATCCCTTCCTAATGCATTCCACGAAGATAATTTGATTGCTAAATTTCTAGTGATGACTGCAGAAAGAATATATAGTAACCAAAGTTTCATGTACATTTTTTCGCTTGTAATTATTGAGCAGTTACTTAAAAGTTGAGCCAAATAAGTCTTCTTTTATATAGAAACTCTTCACATATTTGGAATATCATTAGTTGGGTTTGCCAGGCCGTTGCAACAGTGCCAAGACTGGCAATGTCAATGATCCCATTAGCAGAGCCATGAAAAAACTGAACATTTGTAAGGAAGAATGATGTTTTCTTTTGTACATTCCACATGTAAAAGTACATGCATGATCATATAAAAACCAGCTGCATTTATAAATATGGGAAAATAATTATTCTACTTATCATTTAAACAATTCTACAATGATTTAACAGTAAAAAGAAACTATTAATTGATGCCAGTTAAAGAGGTACACTATATGTTGGATCAACCATTTTCAAAATAAACAAGTTCCCTTGGTTGCCTCTTGATATCCTGCAAATCATGAAAAACGAAGTACTAAATTGAGCAGATGGTAGAACATAAATGTCCGCATGAAGACAATCCAATTGTTAAAGACAGCTCCTGACCATGGTCGAAAGGAAAAAGAAATGGCTGATACTGAATTCAAATAGCCAATCTTGTAGGGCACAATGGACGTGTTGCAGGAGAAACTACTGAAAGTTATTTGAGGACATCGTTCGGAAAATGACCAACTTGCAGAGAGAAAATTGAAAAACGGCCTCTTTTAGAGAAATTTCAGAAGAAGCCTCATTTTTATTTTTTTTGGTCAAAGTCTCAATATTCCACTGTCTCGTTCTTCTTCCTCACACACTGATTTGTGACCCCATGCTGGTGGGTGGGGGCAGTGGAGGGAGGCGGAAGTGGCAATGGGGAAGAGATAGAAATGGTGAAGAAGACTCATTTTCAAAAGGATAACTAGACTGATGGTCCTAGATACATAAAAGGCCATTGTCTTGTTTAAAAAGTTGCACGGTGAAAAGAAATATTTTCATGATAATGCGCATTTACATATCTAAAGTTCTGTTCTTTTTGGAAATAATGCCGTTCACAAGGAGAAATGAGTACCAGAAGAGTGAAGGGCAAATTTCCCCATTCTCATGTCGCAGAAAACAGGGTAAGATTCAAATTTAATGCAAAAACGAAGAGCACGTACACACAAGAAGCTAGATAAAAAGATCAATCTCACACCAGTCCAGGAAAAAAAGTCATCACATGAAGATATAAGTTTGAAGAACGTCAACCGCATTTGAATAGCTGAGTTTCATTTTACTCACCGTAACTCTTCATCCAAATATGTAATTTCCAGTTGACCTCGACCACTTCCACGAGATTTGATAGGTATCTAGGGAACACAAAGAGGAATTATTCAAATTCTATATACCTCAGCAAAAAACAAAGATCTCTAAAGCTTTGCTAAGATGCTAAAGTGAATGAGAATCAAAGGAAATAATTACAAGAATGGTCTTACTTAAAACTTTGCAGATTAATAAGGTTAGAGGAGAGAACTTTGCTGTCTTCCCGCACTTATAGGTTTGCATGTGCTATTATTCATTACCCATTTTTTTATTTTTTTATTTTTTTATTTTTTTTGTCGTTGGCCTAGAGAGAAAAAATTGGCATAACACAAATTCACCACCTACCAAAACTTTTTTCCTGCACCAAATACGTTGGACTATGCAGAGCCTACTGTACACTTATCTCCTCGACTGCAGAAGAACGTCTCATTTCTACAACATATTGGGTATTCAATATTTGCATTTGGTCGACCTAATATTCTTGAATCTGACATTAGACTTTTACGAGGTTGTTTTCTATGTGACATATGCGTGAGATCACTGTTGCCTTCTTTCTCCATGAGATCACCGTTGTAATCTTCTTCAGAGTGAAAACCGCAGCAATTAGATAAGCTGTCTGTGCTTTACTCGCTTTGTTTCCTTTATTGCTCTCGTAAATAGGTGATATTTAACAACTTTAATCCATAAAAAGAAGTGAGTTATATATACCCTATAAAGTCCAAATTACAGAACATAATAATTAATTTATCTATATTGGGGACAGAAAACTTTCTACTTTCCCAAAACAACTAATATGCTGGCGCTGTCATCAATCAAAAATATGAATCCCTTAACATTACAACAGCTGAAAATTAGTTGAGTTTCAGAAGCAGGATTTGACCTACCAGAGCTGCAATCTTGAAAGCATCAAACTTGACAGCCACTCTACTTTCATTTAAAGGAACCAAATTAGCTGTTGCCTACAAAAAACCAACAAAGTGATTTAAAAAAAAAAAAAACCTACGTTCATTTTGTCCATCAAGGAATTTGTTTCGCATGAACGCTATAAGCTCAAACAATTAACGACTACATCTTTTGAAATATTCTGCCCTTGGTCGCTCAAAATCTTTGGTTCTACACTAGACCCAATTTGAAAATTGGGATTATCATGGTCAATACCTAGAGTCTACGAGCTAAACCATACACGTGAAGTAAACAAGTAGCTGGAAGTCAGGAAGGTAGTCTTGAAAATGGACTTTCTCACCAAGCTTCCGATGGTTATTTCTTTTCTTTAATGATGCTGAAAAAAGTGAGTTAAACAGGTAGCTGAATCTCAGGTCAAAAGTAGCATTGATTTATGGCTTGCTCGCCTAGCTTCCCATGGTTATTACTTTTCTTTATGATGCTGAAATGTGATAAAACCATAAAACATGTGCATTTTAGCATAAAAACTTCTCTGTGGTAACAGTTTCCTGTAATTGTTCAGAACAAAAATATTGTGCTTACAACAGTGAATATGTCCGTAGGCTGAAGGATCTTTAGAAAAAAAAACTATAATCTCTTCTAACAATACTATTGTAGATAGAACAAAGAAATTACATGATTTTGAGATCACGAAACCTCATCTACTCATCTGATTTTAAATATAATTGCTAACTTTTTTAGTTCTTAGAATTTTATTTTTTTTTCGTTTGGGATCGAGTAAAGAATTGAATTTGATTGCTTTGAGAGAGAAAAGTCAGGTAACGGAACACAAGTAACCACTGTCAAGAAGCAAAAAGAAGAAGAGCATAACCAGTGTGGTATCTCGAGTATGTTATAGTTGAACAATATGCTTAAGTTTGACTGAATATTTTGATTGAAATAATATAAAAAAACTCATACGTTCCACAATCATGTAGTCAAAACATAAATGTACAGTCTAGATGAAGCTCTATTTTGTTTGCTCAGTGGGTATCACAGGCACAAGAACACGACTACTCAAGAAACACAAGCATATCTAGAGATAAGCACATTACATAGAAAAATTATGCCTTCCCTTGAAATAAGAAGTTACCTGATTGAAAAATGGCCAAGTTTCCAAATTTTGTGCCCTCAATGCATCTGCGTTAATTGCCTGGTAGATTTTTCCATTTGGCCTTAAAAATTTCGGCCTCTGCCACAATTTAATTGAAGGGTGAGCATTATGTTTAGGGTTGGAAATTATACAGCACCTACAAATTTTTAAACAAAGAGTTGAAATATCAGACTGGTTGCACAATAACCAATCAGGACTGCATTCGTCAAGATCCATTATATAATTTAGATTTCTCTTCTTAAGATCTTACAGTAATTTGTTAAGTATTTAGACGATAGACAAAATTAAAAACTTTCTCCGTTTGCCTTAGAAATTATTTGCATATAAAGAAAGTATGTATTGAGGATAAATGTAGTAATGAACTCTGCTCCAGCTTATCTGGCTCCTATAATTCTTCAGTTTTGCTCAGTTTAAAAAGAGAAAAAAAAATAATAATAATAATAATAAATTCAGGTGCATATTTGAGTATGGCTACACAGGACACAATCCGATACCAGCAGAAATCAAGATGAAGTACACACAAATTCAGTTAGAAGCTTCTGTTTTGTTCATAATCAGCTAAAGAATGACTAACAAAGAAGAAAGCATCTTAAATTTTATACAATCATCATAAGAAGGCCTTTAAAAGCACATGATGCCTTTAAAAGCACATGATGCCATCTCTTCTACAAAATGTAGTGCTGAAAAAATAGAAGTTAAGGTAGATATTTCAAGCTTACAGTTAGCCTTTTTATTTTCTTTTTCCAAATTACGTTCTGATAACCCAATGTCATTTAAATGGTCTGCCGTTGGTTTCTATGAACTTCTGCATTCAAATTACAGAATTTCACTTAATGACATTTAAATGTTAATTAAATACATTGCCATTATGTTCCGCTTCAAATAATTCTTTTATCATTCAGAACACAATTGAATAAAAAAGACGAGTAATTTTTATGGCAAAATATATCACCAAAGTGAAATAGATATTACAAACCTCTGTTTTTAAAATTGCTGTAGAAGTTGTATATAAAAGCTCCCATTTCCCGTTTAGAAGACTTGATTTGAGCGGTTGCTTCACTGTGTTAACTGCCTCCAGTTCACGTGCAATCTGAAAATTAACTGTATCTAAGAATATACATGTATCACTCAAGGTACAAAATAGGAATCAAAATATGATGAGTTTGTCCTCCTCAGTTTGAGTAAGCAGTTTCCCTCTTTTTCATTTGATTTCATAGAGGCTAGAGGATATATGCATATTCCAAGTGGATGAAAAATCCAAGAAACATAAAATATGCAGAAATAGGTGGAACAGTAAATTCACTTCCAGATTTTTACAAATGTTCAGCATAAATTGTGGCTCTATATATTACAAAAAGTTCCAACAGGGGCTAAACTTAAACGTATGTGAAAGTTACTTTAAGAGTGTGTTTGATTGGCTTTGTTTTCATGAAAAGTGTCATTTTTCCACCCAAATTCCTACTTTTAGGGTGTTTGATTGACAAATTTTTCCAACTTTTGTTCATGTGACCATATCTTTCTCAAAAAGAAGGAAAATATTTTCTTTGGAGACGGGTAGTTTTAATTTTCTAGGCAATTCTCTCTCTCTCTCTCTCTCTCTCTCTCTCTCTCTCTCTCTCTCTCTCTCTCCCCCCCCCCCTCATTTCTGGGTTGAAAATTAAATCAATCAAACACATTTAATTAATAATTTACAATTCCATGCAATTTCCATGCTCGCAATCAAGCGCTCCCTAAGTAAATTTGTTTATTCCAAACTTTTTTGGATAAGATTTTCTTTAGTTTCTAAGTATAAAAGTTATTTTGAAAGCAACACTTCCCTTAACTGACTCTGAGTCTTTGATAGCTTAAATTTACTTATTTACTTATTAGTAATCTTTTAAGCTTAGCCACACATGTGCCTACCGAATGGAATCACAAGGTCAGAAGAAAAAATTTTACTAGCATGATATTGCTATAGACACAGTTATTAGGTCTAGAGGTCAGAAAAAAATTTCCCCTCTTCTTCACTAATTCTTTAATCCCGACACCCTTGTATCCAACATTCCAAGCACAAAAAACGCCCAAAATATCTATCAAATTCAATCAATTCCAATATAACTAGAGAACCATAAATTAATCAGAATATTATTCTAACACAACCGCGCTTACAATTCATACAATCACCTTTCTTATATTAATCAAATGATAATTCAATAAGCAAATATAAGAAACCCACCTGATCGATACGCTGCTGGTCCTCAGGAGAAGCCGCTGCACCGCGGTCGAGTGGAGCAATAGCCTCAAGAAGCTCCTTCTTCAGGCTCTCTCTGTCTTTGATCAAGAGATATGGAAATAAAGAAAACCCTATTCTCCATTTCTTCGACTGGGTTTCAATGATTTTGTAAGTATCAAATAATTTGCTGTTTTTGAATGTGCTGGGTAAGTAAGGAACGGATTTTGGAGTGATTTTACCAGTCGGTGGAGTACGAGAGGTGCAATTGTGCAATAGGGTAGGCGATGTAGAGAAAGAAAGAGCAGCCATTTGAATAATGATTGTTTAACTTTAAATGTTAGGTTTTGTCCGTTAATATTTCAGTTAATTGTGGATAAGAGTAGAGTTAATTGTTCTAATGGTCACCGAAGTTAGACCCATACCTTTCATTGATCACTAAATTTTAAAATATTGACTTTTGGTAACTGAATTTTAAAATATCGAGTTTTAATCATTGAACTTAGGTTCATGACTTCGAGTATTCACTAAAGTTTAAAATGTCGAATTTTGGCTAATGAACTTTGAAAAATGTTGTACATTGCTCACTAAACTTCGAAAAATATTGTACGTTACTCAATGAATTTTAAAAAATACTGCACATTACTCACTGTAATCTCGATATTTTTTAAAATTTAACAGTTATGCTAGTAAGTAACGTACAGTATATTCTAAAGTTTAATGGTCAAAACTCGATATTTTAAACTTTAGTGAGCAATCTAAGACGTGGATCTAAGTTCAGTGATCAAAACTCAACATTTTAAATTTCAGTGACCAATCAGAGACATGAATCTAAGTTCAGTAACCATTGAAATAATTAACTCACAAGAATATGAGAGAACATATTTATCTAAATATTGAAAAAAAAAAAAAAAAAAGAGAGGGTAATGTAGATAATAATCAAACGGAAAATGAAAGAGAATGTAATTTGTAGCCATTCATTTTTATCTTCTAAAAATATTTTTAAATATGATAAAAGCAGCCAAAGCCAGAAACCCTTTGCAAATACGCTCTAAAAAATAATTACAATATTCATATCAATTAATAATGATTCGCAAGATTATGGATTGAAAGATGGTTTCGTTCAAGTTATTTGATTATTTGCCTCTGAAAGAAAATGATTCATGTATAATACAATAGTCAATTTTATTTATTTATCATCTATTTTGCCTTATCATTCAACCCATATCACCACGAACAAAGGCTCTCTTCGAATTTAAATTCAATTGCGAGTTTTAATCGGACATACTCGATAAAACTTGTGTTTTTTAGATCTCATTGATAATGTGGTAATTAATAAAGAAAACTGGCATTTGACGAGAATAATACCAAAATATAATTAGATTTTCGATAATTATTGAATAAGAATATGGGATATTTAGTAAAATGAATCGGACCATATTTAGATTTCGTTTGGCTTTTAGAATTTATTAACACACTCACAATAATAATTTACTCAATGTTCTGAAAAGTATAAAAAGTAACTAGCCAACAAAATAAGTTACAAACTTTTACGAGTCTAAACAAACGTACGCATAAAAAACATAAAATGTGACAAAAAGACAAGACCAAGTTTCGTGCCCGGGCATATAATTAAACATAAACCCTCATATCTCATGACAAATGTGAAGTTGAACTAATTTCCCAAGCCACGGTATCAATCTTTTCTCGACTAGCTTCAATTAAATATTTCTTCTTTATTTCATTTATTTTTCACTAAATTTAAAATAAAAGGAGAAATATATTCATTCACAAGCACAAAGATTAGATTTGGAAAATTTTCCCAACTTATTGTACTAATCTAGAAAATATTTTTCTCGTAATTTATTTATTTTTACTAGCATTAATGATTCTAGGAAATTATTCAAATCTTTAATATATATATATTACAAACACTTAAAACCCGTTTAATTTGTGTTTCAATTTTCAGTTTTAAGTTCATTTTCAATTTTCTATTTTGACGGTCTGTTTTAAGATTGTTAAAAACGCATTTGTTTTCTCATTGTAAAAAATTATTTCTCAAAATAGAAAATTAAAAAATTATTTGGTTTGAGATTTTGAAAGATTATTTTATGACATTTATTTCATTATATTTGATTAATCATAAAATATTTATGTTAATATATTTTCAAGTGATATATACATTTTAAAGTAGATATAATATTTTTTCTCACTACAAAAGTAAAATAAAAATAAATAATAAATTTGAGTTCAAATTATATAAAATAAAAATAAAATTTAATGACGTGGACTGAGAATATTTTTATTTGTGTTCATTTAAGTTTTTTTTTTTAAATTATGTAAATGATCGTTAAGAGCTTGAACTATTTTAATGTTTTTAGATTATTTATTAATTTTATTTTTTCAGAATTTTTATTGTACATTTTTTGAAATTTTATTTTAGTATTTTAGATTATTTTTTTTTTAGATTTTAAAAGTTTTAAAATTTTATTTGTTAGAATTTTTAAAACATTTTAATTTTTAATGTTATTTAAACTCTTATTTTCCTTGTTTTGAATTTTTTTTTTCAGAATTTTCACTGAAAATACTCAAAACTTTAAAAATGTCTTTTGAGTTTTATTTTATAACTTAAACTTTGTTTTCGAAAATATTTTTTCAAAAATAAGATCAAACATGTTTTCTATGTTTTGCAAAATTGAAAACAGCAAACCAAATGCGCCGTAATTTTTGAAGAATGCATTGTTAAAAAATAGGGGAAAATTTTAAATTTATATATAAAATTATTTTATTGGAAGGATGTACAATTGAAAATGAGTTTTAAAAAATGGAGGTCAAAGAAAGACTTAGCCCTTATTTGAGAGTTATTTTTTGGGAAGAATGAGATTTTGAATTGTAAATTTTAGAGATTGTGTAGTTGAAAAGTATGAAAATATTTTGGATTTACATGAAAAACATTTTATTGTTAGAATGTTTGGTTAAAAATGAGTATGAGAAAAAAGAGTTTTGAAAGAATAGTTGTCAAATAGGAGCTTAATCTATCGGTTAAAGAGCATCATTAATTGGCACAAGGATCTCCTCAAACTTCGGTAGAATTCGACTATGTGTTTATGAAGGCTAAGTTTGCAAGATAGGTGGAAGTATATGAGAAATTATAATGAAATACGAATGTATTTTTAAAAGAAAGAAATCTCAGGAGAACTAGTCGAAACTTTAAAATAGTTATCGTAGTAGTTCAACATGATAAACTAGAGCAGACACAAGTTCAAATACTTTATTGGATCATGAACTAGGCATAGATATTTTATTTCTTTATATATTTGTATTATTACATAGCTCGACAAGCAGTACTAGAGCAGACACTGAAACACTCTCAAGGGATATCACATTGCAGTGATGGCTATCTTCATTCCAGATTGACAGTGCCCTGGAAAATTACAAATGAAGAAATTCTGTCCCTTAACAAGTTTGATCTGATCTTTTCCAGTCTTGTACACCTTGGCACCGCGAGGGGTGGTGCAACCTTGATAGCCACCTTTGTTCACCGCCACGACATTGTGAATCCCCGAATTATAGTTGAACACTGCACTCAAAAGTCAAGTAGATATAAAGTCTTGTCCAATTCAACGCGCTAATTGCATATTTCGTATTGTAAGATTAGAGTGCACAAGTCAAGGTTAAAAAGAAAACTTAAACTTTGTTCGCATATTGTATTGTCTAGTACTATCTGCACAAAATGTAGATTAGAAATATGAAAAAGAAGTTAATTGTGATTTTTGTAAATGGACATGTTTGTTGTTTGTGGGGTTGCGTGCACTTTCTTTCTTTTATATTGGCGGGGCATAGTGAAAACAAGGTAGTTTAAATTTAAAACTGTATACCAAACATGCGACGATAAAAGAGTGGTCGATTTGTTAGTTGAAAAATGTGCTTACCGAGTGTGTCACCAGCTTTAAACTTCTTGCCTTTGGGCCAACCAGATACGTTAAAGGTCCAACCACCGCGGCCTCCAACGACATAGCTGGCAGATTCAGCCACCTCAAAATGGAAAAGCACCACTAAACACAACATTATTGTTGTGGCAAGAACTGCACTGCCTCTTCCCTGAGACATTTTGTATAATTTGAAGAGAGAGAGTTGCGTGTACTTTTGTGTGGGATGAGATGCATCTTGCAGTTCTAACATTTTACAATTTATAGAGGGAGTGGTGGGAGTGGGTGGGATGGCGTGGGGTAAGGAGTAAGGACTCAAAAAAATGGCTCTGCACCTAACTGCTTGGAAGATGTGATCAATGGAAATCGAAACGAAGGAGCGTGGGGGAGAGGGTTTTAGGCATTCGAAATTCGATTCCGTCGTATGTTTGTTAGATGAGTTAGTTTAGTTCTTTTTGTTCGATCGTTTTGAATCCACATAACTAAGTTCGGGCATAATTTTTAGATTGGTTGGGCATAATTTTTAGATTGGTTAGGCACAATTTATTTAAAATTTATTTTTTCTCAACCTCTGCACATTCATCCAATAAAATAATTTTGCATAATGACACGTACATTTTCCTACTTTTTAACCACATATTCTTAAAAAATAAAAATCAATTTTCTCTTCACTCTTAGACGAACACTTGTTAGTAATTCGATTCAATTATAAAATTCATGATAATCTCAATAGCTAGTTGACGTGAAACTTTTATTGACATAGTTATGACACAAAGTTAAGAAGGTGAAGGAGGGGTAGAGACTCATAAAAATGAGCCGTGACCACTCGCTTGGAAGATGTGACGTGCGAAAATATAAAATAAAAATAAAAATAAAAATAAAATTGATTGTTTCTTAATCTATGTTCGTTAAACATTAAAAACTAATAGGAAAAAAATCTATTTTAAATAAAATAAAATATTAATTTCAATCACGCATTTTTTGATATTCAATATTATTCCGCCTAAAAACTTCAGTCACACGGGATTGGACCCACTCATTGTAAAATAATAAATAAAATGTTGAAATAGTAATAACTTGTGCACTTCTGTCATCACAAACGGGATCAGAGGATCAGAAGTCATAGGCATTGAAAATTGTCAATAAATTTTTGAGCTACCAACCCATTACTCTTTCCACCGTCAACTTCGACTTCTGGGGTCTTGAATGCGTAGGCTAGATTTTGTTAGTGGATATGTACCAATTCTCCATGAAGATTGAACATAATCAACATTTTTCCAATTTTAAAATTCATTTTTATTTTAGTCTAGATAATCCACTATGCAAAATTAATAAAATTGGGAACGTGCCGTTAGATTGTAAAGATGAAATTTGGGTGGAAAGAAAACGAATTTCAGGAAATTGTATTGCATAGAAATTGTTTTACTCGAAATTGTCAATTATTGTATTTGATTGGTATAATTTTTCACGTGAAAATTATTGAAATAAAAATATTTTTGGATGTTCGTTTAACTTTGTTTTATATGAAAATTGTCAATTTAAGGGTAGAATTTGTTTCAATTATATCCAAAAAAAAAAGTAAAGAAAATCATTTATCTTTTGGTGTTTGTTTGACTTTGTTTTTCATGAAAATTGCCAATTAAAGGAAAATATTTTTTTTACAATTAGGGATAAAATTTGTTTCCATTGCCCAAAAAAAAAATAAAATAAAATAAAATTGACCAACGGCCTAGAAATTTGGTGGAAAATGGCTGAGGTGGCATGAAATTGAAAAAATGAATTGCCTAGCAAACAAAAAAAAAAACTATCAAACTTCCAATTTTGGTAAAAGTAGGAGAGATAAAAATTTAATTTAATGTAATGTAATGAGAAATAATGAATCTCAAACAGGGACATTATCAGTTGATTCACTTTCCTTTGTAAACAATTTTGTAGCATCAATAAATTTGATTTGCCCCAATATTCAAATATATTATACAATTTATTTTTCACCCCATCGACATCGAAAGTTTGTCAAAAGCGCATACATGTGAGAATTTCTAAATGTTGTGTTAAAAAGTCAAACTTATACATATTTGTGTTGATATTCTGTTTGAATCGTTTGCCTTCTAGATTTAGTTAAGAATCAATTCCAAAACACATCCATTATGAGGTCCCTTGGTGCTAATAACCAAGATTTAATTGTTGAGAACTCAGAATTTCGGAAGAGATTATAACTCAAATGGTCATTGAACTTTGTAAAAGGTTTTCAAGGGGTCATCGAACTTTAAAAGTTGCCAAAGTTATCACTGAACTTTGCAAAAGGTTTTCATGAAGTCATTGAATTTTAAAAATCACCCCCATTCATTACTAAACTTTGCAAAAAAAAAAAAAAAAAAAAAAAAAAACGGGATCACTAAATTTTGCAAAAGGTTTTCTAGGAGATCACTGAATTAGTGACTCTTAAGGAACGTTTTGCAAATTTTAGTGATAACTTGAGTGATTTTTAAAGTTCTCGACCCCGTGAAAATCTTTTACAAAGTTCAATGACCATTTGGGTTATTATCTCAATTTCGGAATGTACATAGAATATTAAGTGGATTTTAGATGAAATACTATAATATCCATTTAATCATAGTAGTTGAGGAGGGCAATTGTCCATTAGTAAATGTTTCAACTATCTAGTTTGTCTATTAATAAGGAGTGAGCTATTAAACCCCACGTGCCATTAAATTTTTCCGTCTATGCCAAGGCTAAATTTTGGCAAGAAAAAGGGTGGTACGCAAAGGATAGAATACCCAAAATGCACATAAAGTTTCATGAAACGTAAGGGACGAAAAAATTGTCTTAGTATGGAAAAGTCTATAAACGAATGTGTATTCAGCTAGTCAGAACGTTCTAGAAGTACTAGTACTTCATATATGGTAGAAGGTTCTAGACAACCAGCATAAAAATAGCGTCAGGCAGCACTTCAAGCCGGAAGGAAGCTAGCACTAGTCCTTTTCGGAATTCTGTAGAGAATGCTAGGATTGATTTTTGTAGAGATAATTATGTGATATTTTCTATAGAAATGTCTAGAATGAAACATTGACCATTGGATCAAAAAGATCCTTGCCATTTATTTGTGGAGGCAACCACTATAAGAAGTAGGTAGTGAGTTCATTTGCATTGGTCAAGTTTCAAGTTGTAAAAAGATACGTATATAATAAAACAAGCATTCTCCCAAACTTTTGTGCACTTAAACTTCCCAAAATTACCACACCCATCAAGTTACCTTCCTCCCAAAAAAAAATGAATCAGTCAAGTCAAATGTTAGACAACTTAAATCGTCATCCAGGCCTTCGATTTATCAATAGTCCCCAGCTTAATGTTTATAATTTTTTTTTCATATAATTTTTTTAAATAATTAATAATATTAAAAAGATAATTTAAGATTACAAATGATTTTTTAGTTTTTTTTTTAATAATAAGTGTTTGATTTTTTAAAAAACTCTTGGTATTTAATCACTCGATCTAAAGGTTTAAATTGTCTATCAATATAATTAGATAACATTTAAAAAAAAAATTGTTGGAAGACACATTTGACATTTTTATTTATTTTAAACGTTATATTCCTCTAGAGAGAGAGAGAGAGAGGTCAATCCCTGCTCTGTGATGAGTGACGGCCCAAACCCTAATTCCATATTTGTGATTTTTTACTGAATATATATATGAGAAGTCAATCCTCGCTCTGTGATGAGTGACAGCCCAAACCCTAATTCGATATTTGTGATTTTTTGCTGAATATATATATATATATATATAATTTTATAAGTAGCCCACACACCAATTTAACCCATAAATGTCAAATCCATTCCATCCCAAAGTTCAAACCCACCTAATCATACATTCATACTTCTCAATTCTCATCTCCTTCGGTGATTCTGGAAAACACCGAAGCCTCTGCAAGTCAAAAGAGTGAGGAAAACAGTACTGGCAAGTGGCAACCATGGTCTGATGTTCAAGGTTCATTTCAGATTCTTCGCTCGTTCGATGTCCACCACATCATAGAATTTTGTGGTATTGACGTATTGTCATTTTATGCACAATTACAAAATGCTATGTTTTGTATAAAATTATAAATTTGAATTTCTATTAGCAAAATACAAAAAGAAAGTGAGAAACTGTTTGAAATTTGAATAAGTCACAATAGGAACATTTTCCCAAAACTCCAATGGATTATGGATACAGAAGCAGGGGCAGAATTTGGGGTAATAAATTAGTTATTGGTGGGAACAAGACAAAGTAAAATTGTATACAGGCAAAGATTATATTTTATTAGAAATTCAATATCTCGGGTGTAATTATAAGAGTAAGACTTGTGGATTTTTGGAGTTTTTGAATGAGATCTTTTTGTACAGCCTAAAATCTAAACAGCGGAATTTTTCTTTGCTTGCATTTTTGGGTGGTAAGACAGAGAAAGTTTTGATATACAATTTACTTAGATGCGTGCATCTCTTCCTTAATAAGTTAATCTCGTGGATAATGTGTTTGTTGAAATGACATATCATTCTAATTATTGTGGTTGCAAGTAGAGAAGGTCACAGAATTACATTATTCTCACTAAATTGATTCGTCTGTCACTACCTGTATCTACAGCGACTAATAAACGAGCTCTTTCAGCAATAAAACATGTGAAGACAACAATTTATAATAGAATGGAGGAATGAGGATGAGTTTCTTGCTAATTGTTTGTCGCTCTACATTGAACGAGAATTTGCTGAGAAAATAGATGTAGATCCTATTACAGACGAGTTTTACGCAGTTAAAACTCGACGGACACAACTTCAGCACGTAATGTCGTAATGAAATTTTAGGATGCATTAATATGCAAATAAATAAATAAATAAATCACACATTACAAAGAAAAATACATATTTTAAAAAAAAATGATTTGGGATAGCCCCTCCCCCTAGATCTACCAGTGTTCACATGTAATCGGCACCTCATTATCGTCACCAGGATGACAGCGTCGATATTATTCAATCAAAATGGCAAGAATTCATGTTGCTGTAGACCTCTAAATATCAAGGCATGTACATAAATATTGAATCATTTCATTTACAAGTTTAAATTGTACTCTCTTCATCCCAATTATTTAGACTAGTTTCCCTTTTTTCTTGTCCCAAATATATAGGGATGTTTCCCTTAGTAAATGTTTCAACTATCTAGTTTGTCTATTAATAAGGAGTGACCTGTTAAACCACACACGCAATTAAATTTTTCCGTCTATGTCAAGACTAAATTTTTGCAAGAAAAAGGGTGCTGTGCTAAGGATGGAGTACCCAAAATGCACATAAGGTTTCATGAAATGTAAGGGATGAAAAAATTGTCTTAGTATGGAAAAGTTAGAAACAAATGTGTATTCAACTAGTCAAAACGTTCTAGTACTTCATACATGATGGAAGGTTCTAGACAACCAGCATAAAATAGCTTCAGGCAGCACTTCAAGTCAAAAGGCAGTTGGCACTAGTCCTTTTAGGAATTCTCTAGAGAATGCTAGGACTAATTTTGTATAGATAATTATGTGATATTTTTTATAGAGATGTCTAGAATGAAATATTGACCATTGGATCAGAAAGATACTTGCCATTTATTTGTGAGGCAACCACTATAAAAATAGGTAGTGAGTTCATTTGTGTTGGTCAAGTTTCAAGTTGTCAAAAGATTTGTATATAATACAATTAAAATTCTCCCAAACTTTTGTGCACCTATACTTCCCAAAATTACCACACCCATCAAGTTACCTTTCTCCTAGAAAAAATGAAGCAATCAACTCAAATATTAGACAAGTTAGATTGTCACCCAGGCCTTCGATTCATCGGTTGTCCCCATCTTAATGTTTATATATTTTTGTTTTTTCTTATAATTTTTTTCAATAATTAATAATATTAAAAAGATAATTAAAGATTACAAACGATTTTTTAGCTTTTATCTTTCTTTTTTCAACAAGTGTTTGATTTTAAAAACTCTAGGTATTTAATCAGTCCATTTAAAGGTTTTAATTGTCCATCAATATACTTAGATAACATTTAAAAAAAATGTTGGAAGAAACATTTGGCATTTTTTATTTCTTTGAAACATTATATTTCTAGAGAGAGAGAAGTCAATCCTCACTCTGTGATGAGTGACGGCTCAACCCCTAATTCCATATTCGTGATTTTGCTGAGAATCTATAATTTATTTATTTTTTCAATTTGCTCCTTTATTAATATGAGTAAAAAGTTTCATTGATAACTTAACTTTGAATATTGTCATGTTGTGGTCATTGTACTTTAATCTGCTTTTGAACGGTCATTGAACTTACCAAAAGTGCCATCCATTAGTGACTCGGCATCTAGTCGTTTGAAGCTAAGTTGATATGGCCACACGACATCTGACTTGGAAGTTAACAATGTCTCCATATAGCCACATAATGAGTTGCTCTTCCCAAATGGCTTTTTTCTTTACTTACAAATCAAACAAACGATATATCCCCTACACAAATGTAAATCAGAAGCCCCAAATCAAAAAATTTTCCCCAATCACAAACCCTAGATCGTTAATTGATCTACCAAAATTTGATTCAAAACCGCGAAGGGAATCACCAAATTGAGAACGTTGACAAAATCACACAAGCCCAGCTGCTTCTGCCCATTGTGAAGGTAATCCATGATTCAACGATACGAAATCGTACCTTGAATTTCCTTTTTTCTTCGAAGAATTTCCTTTTTTCTTCGAAGAATATATATTTCGTACCCTTGAATTAACAGAAGGAATTTATTTTGAATGTTGTGGTTGCACAAAATCAAAGAAAATAATTTAAATACAAGTTATTTAATTTATGGATTTTATATTTTGATAGTTTGTTTTTGGTGAATTCTTCGATCACCCACATGGGATTCATATCCGTCTTTCGTTTTGTGCTTTCATTTTCAAATTTGTTTCTTGTAGTCATAGCTCATGCTTTCTATGGAAGGTGAACTTAATTTTATGTTCATTTTGTAAGTGGTAATCGCACAATCAATTCAATATTTCTTGCAATGTTCTAATTATGGATGAAGGTAATCATTTAATCGTTGCATATTCATTTGGCCTAGGATTTTTGGTAGAGGAAGCTGAATTAGAAAAATGTTGTGTTAGTATTGCAGTCATTTCATGTGGAAATCGAAAGGTGATTCGAGTTGTGGTTGTTCAGATACATGTAAGGCTAATCATCCGGAGCGAGATCCGTCGTGCACGTTTGAGCAATGGGCTACCATCATAGAGAAAAAAGACGTTGAGATCTCCATTAACATCACTATCCAGAAGGGAAAAGGAGTGACGGAAAAGGGAATGGTTCCGTGAATTATTTCCGCCACTGTGACGAGGCAAAGACTTTTGTTGGAGTTATCACATCCCATTTTTTTTGTAATCAGCACTAAACTTGTTGTAAATTATGTTTTTTGTACGTCAATGTCGTTTTAGTAGTTCACTTTGTTTTCGAACTCTTGTTGTATGTTGATGGCGAAAACTTGTCGATGTGGTTTATTTGAATGCATAAACAATATCTATTGTGTTTGGTTTTTATGATTTGATTTAGGAAACCATATAGCTATATCAATAATTGAGCGAAGAGACAATATATGTAGAGAAATTCACGACTCGAGCTCAATCTATGTAGCTCATATGGAAATCTAACTTGATGCTAAATATTGACACTTGCTCCTACAGTATAACTATCTACTTTGTACTTGCATCTAGTTCAAAAGTGCTCTCAAATATGTCCATATATACAGCATTGATAATCACAATATACAAAATATATACCACTTCATTACATTACAGACACGGGCGTAACCCATGGACTCGTTTCCTAAAACAAAACTGCAAGTTTTTTGAAATTTCCTTGGCATCAAATACCCATCAAAAGTTACACATGCCATAGGTAGACAAAATGTGCATTCAGTGGGCAAAATTGTAATTGAAACTGAGCCCCAAAAAGTTGTTTTTTGCATTAAAGTATCACTCTGCCAGTACATTTGGCAAAGCAAGTGCTGGGCCAAAATATATCGATGTGTCAAAAATATATAGTTGCAATGTCTATTGTGTTGGCTCCGTGTGCATGTCAAGGATATATAGTAATCCTCATATCCGTCTCAACTGAAAATTCTGGAAAGTGATAAACAACATCTTCGTCCAACGAACATTCCAACAATAGCTCTTCAGATGATGGATACTCCAAGCCATCCACTGCGTCGACATATCCATGTCACCTACAAGCATCACTGATCCATTGTGTCCAATCCAATTTCAATGCCATCCGTGACATTGCGATTGTACAACATATCATCTTCATCTGAAGCCATATCAACATTAGATTGACAGAATTAGTCTCTGCCACATAATCTGTAAAGAACATAGAAATAATAGTTTTACACGTTTATTATCAAAACATCGAAAATTCGGTTGAAAATTAGATGTTGAGCAATGACTAAGAGGAACATATACTGAGATAGTAATAATTTACTCTAATTTAGTTGATTTTGAAATTCAAATAAATCCGCCAAAATAAAATAAAATAACAGCCAAATTGTTGAAAATAAGTGAATAAATTGCTCACTTTTGGCAAAATTTTCAGTGGGACCCGTTGGTCCAATTCGGAAGATCAAAGTTGATCTGTGTTTTCCTCCGTGAGAGCATCGAAATCATATATTTACTTGCCAAAAATAAAGTTCGGGTGAATGAGAAATTGGAGCTCAAAGTTGACCATTAGAAGATGATTTATGTGGAAAAAATGAGTTTGTCCCACATAGGAAAAATATGAAAGCAAAAGCCACTTTAAATATGGTTGCACATTGGAAGGGTGTAATCATGTGTAGTATAGAGGCTCTCTTTACGTGCGCGCACAGGGAGTTCAAATCACGAACAGAAATTGTCTTTGGACCTTGAACTTGTGTACGGGCGTGACCTGCGTACATGAATATAGGACCGGACGGAGCAAAATTGGCCCGTTTGAAGTGTCCACGTTTTGCAATTTTTTTGCTTTCTCCAACTGACATTTGAGTTTCCGAAAACTGCCAAAACTCCCAGAAATTGAAGCAACTCCAATGTTTATTGCTATGGAATTAATAGGTAGATTTAATCTTATATTAACTCTCATTTCCAGCAATTCTAACTACGAGAATACACACTAGGAAATTGCTGTCTACATACACATGAAAATATTCTGCAAATTAGTGTTGTCTGCATATATAATTTGTTGCATTTTCAGCGTCTTCATGGTGGTGATATTGTTCGAATACAAGCTTAGTTCGTTGGAGTAGTATTTGTGGTGCTCAAATTCTACAGGTTTTACCATTGTATCTTGGAAAACAGACGCTCGAATTAGACCTCAAGTACTTACGGTGAGAGGATAAATCTGTTTTAAGAAATATTTATTTATTTTGTGATTACACCTTCGCAATTTATTTTTGCAAATTTATTTATTTAGCATTTATTCGTGTGATTAATATAATTTGCAGTTTTATTATGTTATCGTTCTATTTATGTTTATTAAAATTAATCTGCGTTATTTGGCCAACTAGATTAGTTGATCAAATTAATTTGTTTATTCTATTGAAAATTAAATCTGCTATATTTTGTCTTGTTCTTTACATATACAATATCCTGCAATTTCGGTATGTATAAGTGCAAAATCGGTATTTGAAAATACGGTATGTGAAAATATGGTATATATGAAATGAGTAAGATAATATGTGTAAATACGGTTAAAAACATATACGGTAGGTAGCATATACGGTAACCTACAAATACGGTAAGCTTCAAATATGATAAGTTGCATACACAATAAATTTCTTGCAAATACAGTAAGTTGCATATACGGTATATTACATATACACTATGCTCAAAATCTATATTTAAACTACATATATGGTACGTGATAATTCGATTTCATTAACACCACTATATTCCAACACAAATGACACTTTTTTCCATATTAATCATGAGTATGGTAAAACAAGAAGTTACTGAATTGATAAGTTCATGATAAGAATTATACTTCAAAGAACATTATATCAACGACTTTACCTCCATTTGCTCCCTCCATTCGTGCAATTTTAAACTCCAGTGGTTGGATTTAGAAGTTTATTTGCAGGACTTGGGGGATTAGGACTTGGGACGTGGTTGGGTAAGATGGTGGGTCTATAGGTCGAAAATCAGCTGAAATTGATGACGGTGCATTTTGTAGTAGATTGATTCACAATCTGGGGTTCGTGATTGGGGTATAATTTCTCATTTATGGCTTCTGATTCGCGTCTGGTTATAGGTTGTGTCGTGTGTTTGATTTTAAATAAAGAAAAACTTGATTTGAATATGAGCAACTCATTATATGGCTGTATGGATACGTCGTTAGTTTTCAAGTCAGACATCGTATGGCCACATCGGCTTAGGTTCAAATGGCTAGGTGACGAGTGATTCATGGACGACACTTTTGGATAGTTCAAGAAGCAAATTAAAGTACAGTGACCACAACATGACAATATTCAAAGTTCAGTTATTAATGAAACTTTCTATATTTATATGGTACCCTAATTTGAAATAGCTATGATATTGAATCTTAAACTAACGAACACCCACATGCACATGCAAAGGAAAATTTAGGACGGGTTAATACGCCAAAAAGAAGAAAAAAATCGTGCATAAAAAAATATTTTACATTTTTTTTATTGTGAATTGGGCTGGGAGACTGGTTGTAGCGCATCACAGTCTCCCATAGATCCAACAATATTCACATGTAATCAGTACCAAATTGTTGTCGTCATGGATGACAACGTTGATATCCTTCAATCATAATGGCAAGAACTCACCTTGTTGTAGGCATCTAAATATCAAAACATGTGCATAAATATTGAATCATTTAATTTACAAGTTTAAATTATATATCAATGTATAACAGCTAACAAATTATTGGAAGAAAAGTTCAACTATTTCATGTTTGCACTACGAGATCTTTCATTAGTCTCCATTAAATTTTTCAAGTGTTTATAAAGGGGGCAATTCGCCTATTCATTCGCCTATTTCCTTGGAGTTGAAGTTCTATGCAAGGATCAGGGTATGTTTCTCAGTCAAACAAAATATGCACTTGATCTTCTACAGCAGGCAGACATGGTTGATGCTAAGCCTATCTCAACTCCATTTGTGGTTGGTCAACATTTGTCTACTGAAGGGAAGCTATTCTCGAATCTAACCATTTTTCCCTTACTTGCCGGTGCTCTTCAATATTTGACTAGAACTCATCCTGATCTCTCCTTTTCTATGAATTCTATTTGCCAATTCATGCATACTCCAACTGAAGATCATTTTCGAGCTCTCAAACATATTTTATCTTATGTTAACGGCATGATTCACTATGGACTTCAATTAGAACGCAACCCCTCTTCTGCGTTGCTTGGTTATTCAAATGTGGATTGGGCAGGTTGCCTTGACACCTGTAGGTCCACTATGGGTTATATCATATTTGTTGGATCCAACTTAATCTCATAGTGTTCCAAGAAACAAGTCACTGTGTCCCGTTCCAGTGCTGAGGCAGAATATCGAGCCTTAGCCATAACCGCTGCAAAGTTTCTTAGATTGTTCAACTACTTCAAGATCTTCTTGTCCAGTTGCCTTCAACACCAAAGATTCTCTGTGACAATCAAAGTGCCATTTTTATGGCTCTCAATCCAGTTACTCGGCCTCGTTCCAAGCGTATTGCCATTGATTATCATTTGTTCGAGAATTAGTTGCAAATGGCAAATTAGATCTTGGTTTCACTCCCTCTGACCTTCAGCTAGCGGATTCTCTCACCAAAGGTGTCTCCAAACCACAATTTCTACTTTTTCAGAAAAAGCTTCGCGTTATCCGTTCTCGCACGCTCAACTTGACGGGACTTGTTAAGGAAGAATTACCAACGCATTAATTCTATCCTTGACTGTAACTAATCCTATTGTTATCAATACTATTATTTCATCTTTATTCATTCCTATTTTATAGGATCACATGGCTCTACACATTGTATATATAATGAGAATTATTCCCCTCAATGTTTATTGAGGTTTTAGCCATATCTTTATTTATTACACCTGTTTATGGTCCCACATCGAATAAAGATAAAAACATAGACCAATTTATAAGAGTTTGAGTTACTCCTCTTAATAAGGTTGACCTTTTAAAATAGAACCCCGAGTCTTAACAACCGTAATTGAAAATGAGCCCCAAAAAGTTGTTTTTTGCATTCAAGTATCACTCTGCCCATGTGTCCCGACATTTGGCAAAGCAACTGCTGGGCCAAAATATATTAATGTGTTAAAAATATATAGTTGCAATGTCTGTTATGTTGGCTCCTTGTGCATGTCAAGGATATATAGTAATCCTCATATCGGTCTCAACTTAAAATTCTAGAAAGTGATAAACAACATCTTCATCATACGAACATTCCAATAATAGCTCTTCAGATGATGGATACTCCAAGTCATACGCTGCGTCGACATCGTCCATGTTACCTACAAGCATCACCGCTCCATTGTGTCCAATCCAATTTCAATGCCATCTATGACATTGTGATTGTACAACATATTATCTTCATCCGAAGCCATATCAACATCAGATTGACAAAATTGGTGTCTTCCTCATAATCTGTAAAGAACATAAAAACAATGGTTTTTCACGTTTATTATCAAAACATCTAAAATTCGGTTGAAAATCAGATGTTGAGCAATGACTGCGGGAAACATATACAAAGACAGTAATAATTTACTCCAAATTAGTTGATTTTCAAATTCAAATAAATCCGCCAAAATAAAACAAAATGACAGCCAAATGACAATTTCTTCTCTATTAATCATGAGTACTGTAAAACAACAAGTTACTGAATCGATAAGTTAACGATAAGAATTACACTTCAAACTTCGAAGAACATTAAATCAACAACTTTACCTCCATCTGCTCCCTCCATTCGTGAAATTTTAAACCTCTAGTGTTCGCTTTTAAAAGTTTATTTGTGGGACTTGGGAGATTAGGACTTGGGACGTGGTTGGGTTTACAGGTTGAAAATCAATTGACATTGGTGATGGTGCAATTTCTAGTAGATTGATTCACGATCTGGAGTTTGTGATTGGGGGATAATTTCTCATTTGGGCTTCTGATTTGCGTTTGTTTATAGGTTGTGTCATGTGTTTGATTTGTAAGTAAAGAAAAACGTCATTTGAAGAAGAACGACTCATTACATGGTTGTATGGAGACGTTGTTAGTTGCCAAGTTGGACGTCGTGTAGCCACATCAACTTAGGTTCAAATGGCTAGGTGACGAGTGATTGATGGATGGCACTTTTGGACAGTTCAATGACTGTTTAGAAGCAAATTAAAGTTCAGTGACCACAACATGACAATATTCAAAGTTCAGTTATTAATGAGACTTTCTATAGTTATATGGTACCCTCATTCACATTTGAAATAGCCATGATGTTGAATCTCAAACCAATGAACACCCACTTTCACATGCAAAGGCAAATTTAGGAAAAAATTTAGGACAGGTTAATACACAAAAAAGAAAAAAAAAAAATGACGCATACAAAAAATATTTTACATTTTTTTTTTATTATGAATTGGGCTGGGGGACTGGCTGTAGCACATCCCAGTCTCCCCTAGATCCACCAATGTTCACATGTAATCAGTACCAAATTGTTGTCGTCATGGAGGACAGTATTGATATCCTTCAATTACAATGGCAACAACTCACCTTGTTGTAGACCTCTAAATATCAAAACATGTACATAAATATTGAATCATTTCATTTACAAGTTTAAACTGTATATCAATGTATAACAACTAACAAATTATTGGAAGAAAAGTTCGACTATTTCACGTTTGCACTACGAGATCTTTCATTAGTCCACTAACCTTTTCAAATTTCAAGTGTTTATAAAGGGGGCAATTCGCCTATTCATCGCCGTCCTCAATTTCCATCCCTTGAATAATATCTTCAGTTTAAATCTAAATCTAAGTCATATCAAGTTTTATTTCAACAACAGTGTGTAGCTCTTTCTCAAGAACATCATACTATTTCTACTTCTTCCTTTCCAGGAACGAGACCATCAGTAAATTTAAACACGACTTCAACTAATATACCTTTTATTTCTGGTTTGATCAACTTCTATGTTTCCTTCAACAACTTTCCCTGGCTTGCTGGGGTACATTCCGTGATTTATGTCCCTCACAAAGCTTTAAGTGCGGAGCAGTGGGGGCCCTCAAGGTTGGGGTTCAACCTTTTTTTTCATATTTGCAAATGTTGGTTTTAACGTAACGGTTTTTTAGTTAATAACTTTAAAAACTTAGATAATTTAACAAAAAAAGTAAAATTGTCAATGAATATATTCATGAAAATATAAAATTAAATACTCGTAGAAAATTTCTTTTACAAAAAATAAATAAATAAATAAGAGTTAAAAAATAACTTATAAGTCAATAATATTATAACGAAAAAAGTAAAATATATATTTTTATTTGACAGTATTTTATAAAAATATAGAGAGTAAAATTTTATGAGTAACACCGACAGTCTCCGTCAATGTTGAAGCATTTTCAGTGATTCTCGCCAACATCTTGATATATTTTCATCAGTATTCGTTGACAAAATTATAGCAATCATTACCAATAATATCAATATCACTTATTTAGTTTTAATCACTGACCTACATTGGTTTTAATCAGAAGTATAATTAGTTTAGACAATTATTTTTATTCTACTTATAAGTAAAAACTATTTAAAAAAAAAAAACTTATATATTTCTCTCAAAACAAGCAACTTTCTTTTACATCGATAAAAATCATATATTTATTTTGAACTTATTTATTTATTGCCGATTAATAAATTTACCTTTTGCATACAAACATATTTAGATAACTCACTTTAGTTATTATTAAAAATACATAACTTGCTTTTCAAACTTCTATTAATAAATAAATTATTTACTTACCCATAAGTAAAATTACTTTTAAGTGAAATATTAAGTTATCAAAAAGTAATTCTCTTATTTCAATTAAAATGAGTAACTTATTTTTTTTAACTTTGATAAATAGATAGTTTGAAACTTACTCGTGTACTTATAAATAAATATTACTTTATAAATAAAGTTTGCTTATACAAAAAGTTAACCAGTAAGTGAAACTCCAACATGATGCCCAAATGGCTCAATCATTTCTTCCATCCACTCAATATAACAACTTTAACCCCCCAAACGATTACATATAATTTTTATATTTTGACGAGCTTAAGATTAGGCATTTCGGTTCAATAGGTTTCTATCAAATTACCTATGAAATATATTAAATCCTTATTTGACAATCATTATTTGAGAAAATAGAATTTTGAATAGTAACTTTTAGAAGAATATGCGATTCAAAGAATAATGTTATTTGCAATCACTCACTACTGCAATCGCCCTTCGTAACACACGTGAAGCGATTAATGATTTGATATATGTGATAAGAAAAAATTACCAAATTAATACATCAAATCACAAACCGCCATGTAAGATATCACGTAAAACGACTACCGTAGTGAGTGACTATGAATAATATTACTCGTTATTAAAAAGTACAAAAAAAAAACTTTGGATTTACGTACAAAAACAATTTGTCGTGTGAATATGTGAAAGAAAAAAAAATGGGAATTTGAAAATAATAGTGGTCAAACAGGGGCTAATTCTAATCGTGGATTGTTAAGCTTAAAAGAATTTACTTGTGCCCTTGTTTACTCATAAGTATATAAATAAGGTTTTTTGTTGATGAAAATGGACTTCAAAAGGGTGTTTGTGAAATATTTTTATGTAAAAATGTATTTTTAAATAGTAAATTGATGAAAATATGTAGTTGAAAAATTAAAAAAAAAAGTTTTTAATTTACGTATAATATTATTTTAATAAAGAATGTGTGATTGAAAAGCAGAGAGAGAAAAATGCATTTTGAAAAAAATGGGTACCTAACGTGGCCCAAGTAAAATAAGATAGGGAAGAAAGTAAAAGGAAAGAAAAATAAGCACCACCATGAACAAAACTATTGTAGTTGCTCACTATGAATAGTACTATTAATACAAAGATCCGCAAGCTTTAGATATTATATGTTATACAAGAGCAAGAAGGCAGCAAAACATACCATTGCAATTCTCGAAGATTTTACAGAATATGTAATGCAAAAACAAATCGTCGATTAAAAAGTCAAACTAGCACAAAATTTCAGAAATAACTAGGTGAAACAAGCCAAAAGACTCGATAGAGAACCCGCCTACTGTTAACTTCGCCTCGACAAAATGAACCCCACATACATCATTCTTCACAGGAGTTCTGCAAATCCTACGAGGACTCAACATCTGAATCTTCCAATCCTTCTCTATAAATCTCGAAGTCCTCCGAGCTCCATCTACACGTTAAGTGAAGTTTGAAGGTGGCCATCTTTATACCCAGCAGACGCTGCTCAACAAGTCATCAACTCCATAGTTAGGAATTCTATTCTATTACAGCAAAAGCTTGCTAGTCATTGGCAAAAAAATATGCTGATATAACAAATGATTGAAAAAGATTTTAAAATGGTGGAAAACCATCCAGATTGCACTGATAAGACACGACATCAGGTTTCAAAATTTAAGGTATCACCACAAATTACAATACAAGCCAAGATTAAATTTTGACATTTTATACACACCAGTATGCGAGCGGCCTCGGGTGATAATGGCTTCCCTTCTTCACATACAATGAAGTCTGATACAAGCTCCACGACACCTGTCCACCACAAATATTATGTGAATGACATGTCATGTTATGCAAGACAATGAAGAAACATACCTAAACTTGAAATAATATCAAACAGCAAGTCAAGTCAAGGAGGAGCACCTTTGTTTAACCTAACAGGCATCCCCTGCTTACGCAAGAAGGGCTCCATCTCATGTGTAAACTGATCCAAAGGACCTTCATTAAGCTCCACCTAAAAAAAGAATCAAATATCAGTAAAAAATGGTCCAGAAATGGGTAAATTTCAAATACGGAAACATAGGTGAGAAGTTACATGGGCACAGTGAAAGAGCAACATACAAGAAGGTATCAAAGAAAAAATAAATTTGCTGAAAATTTCCGTAGAACTTGGTAAAAGAGCAAAGAGACATACTTAACACAGGCTTTTTGTCAATGGCAGTCGTATTTTCTCCTAACGACAAAAGATTTTGGGAAAATGCTATTAAAAGTTTATCCAGCCAAAAAGTCCTTTTTTATTTTTTATTTTTTGGGATGGGGTGGTTTTTTCCATTTCTATAGCATTGTGCCAAAGCAAATTAAACCATTCAACCCATACGTCAAGCATAGAAGATTGATCATGCAAGACCATCTAGCATACCTTCTCGGTTGCAATACTTCCAGTTCTTGCAAAGTCATAGTCTTCATATTCATTAAATAATCTGACAGAAATTTCAAAAGGATGAATAACTTATTAATATAAATAATAAAACATAGATACAGTCTACAATGAATAAATGATAAGAAAGAAAAGAATGCGGAACTTTCATTTCTTTATTTATTTAAAAATTAAGCTTCTGTTTGAGCTCCATTTTTCACAAAAAATGGTTTTTCTAATAGTCATGTTTTTTGGAGAATGTGTAGTTAAAAGTAGGAATTTTTTTTAGATTTACGTGCAAATTATTTTATTAGGAGAATGTGTAGTTGAAGATGAAATTGAGAAAGATAAGCTTTTAGATAATGAGGCTCAAAAGGGGCTAAACAAACCAACAAAAGCCAACACAATGGCAGTTCAAATCTTTTCAAGTTTCTATATTTGCAGAATGCAGAATAGTATAATTTGCAGTGAATTTTAGCAGAAGACAGCTGTCTCTTGAAATGAACCTTCAAAGTTGAGAACTACCTCAACACTGATACATCAAAATATGTAAAGAGGAACAAAAAGTGTCTGTAGCCAATTTTCACTGAATACAAAAACAAGATAAAACTATATGTTCAAGTAAAATGTTTGGCCAATTCTTTTCTCGTGCTGTAAGCTATTTTCAGTGAAGGAATCATAATAAAGTAATTGCAAGATAAAAGATAGACTATGAATCAAGAAATGGAGTTATCAAAGTCATAAGCAAACCAGATTCCCCAAACTTAAACTTCAAGATTTTGAAGACCGATAACATGCATGGAATTTTTGTATTCAGAATACAAAATATCACATGATTATTTTAAAATAGTATTAAGCTTCACATGCCACACTCCATATGTTTTATAACAATGGTCCAAAGACATACCTTTCAACTTCTTCCTTTGGCAAACTAGTAAAACAAAGCCCAGAATCACCACGTAAAAGCTGAAAGAAAATAATATTTCAATCAAATACTAAAGTAAACAAAAAGAAAATAATAGAAGTTGATGAAAACTAATTTATTGCGTAGAAATGCTCATCCTACCTTAGAAATCTTGTGAAGGCCAGGTCGGATCTCATCAGCAACAGACCTACCTAGGGCAACTTGCATGACTTTATTTGAGCCAAGAAAAAATCTGATCCAAAGAAGAGAAAAGTAAATATATATCTTCTTTTGTTAGTTTATGATCATATTATTCAATTATATGTCCTAAACAAAAAATCTACAACAGTACTTGCTACTTAAGTCCTTTTAATTTGATTGAATTGTGAAATAACAAGGAGTGTGCATCCAACGGCATAGTTCCCTGAAAGGGAATCTTTACCGCCAATATTCGCAAATATCCTACACAACCAAGACTTAAAAAATACAGTTGAATTCCAGCATTTATGCTATATGCTACAAATTCCAGCATCCCGCTTAAGACACGGAGCTCTTCAGCAATAATGTAATGATGATAAGTAATAACGAAAATATAATAAGCACACATTTCTCCTCATACCACAGCAACACGAGCATTCTTATAAAAAATAAATAAATAATCATAAAAGTCTTGGTATATTTTCCTACCTGCTTGATGACTTGAGCTGGTCCCTAAACTCTTTAAACTTGAGATTCCTCATGTTCTCAAAAGTAAAAACATAAACAGAATCGTACTTCTCGACCGATTCTCGTATCGCATTCACTACATTTTCTTTATGTTCCCTCCCTTTCTTCTTCGTCTTGGATAAAGTCACTGCACAGCAATCACCAAATCAAAACAATAATTCAAAAATCAACTTTCTAAACGCGAAATTCATTGTGAATGCTTCAATCTTTGATATACTCAAGCAAATAGAGGGTAGAAAAACATCGTACCTGGCCTATTACGCTTTGATTTCGGCATAGTTTTAGAACCCTAAAGAGAGAGGGAAAGCGGAATTGGAGAAATTTTGCTCTGTGCAGTTTGGCTCTACAAATCACAAAAACCCTAATTAAGTTCCCATCAGAAAACGTTCTGGCAATTTAATTTGGGCCGCTCTGGGTAAAGCCCACTTTTTGGTTTGTTTGTTAACACAATGTGGGAGTGTGCGTCCAGGTCTAGATTGTGTGATCACTAATTGACAAAAATAGCATTAACTGTCCTTACTACAAATGCTTGATAGAGCTTATATTGCAGATATATTTTTCAAGTTGGAAAACTCAAATTCTCAATAAAATTATATACTCAAGGTTCTTCGAAAGGTGGAAAGGCCCTTGTTCTTGAGCTTTCCTCAAGTTTTGAGAGGGACATTGATATTTTGCAAACAAGGGTGGAGATGGGGAGGGCTCTATACTGGGCTGTAGCCCAGTATTGCCCAAACCCATATCCAAGAAAATGGAAGGAATAGTCTATTAAAAATAGAAATTTAATCACTTAGCCCACCATTAATCCAACAGCAGCCCAATTGCACAGCCAGTCTCAATTCAATATCACTATTATTTTGAGAAAAATAAGCTCATATACTCAACACTTTGACTTTTTATTTATAGTGTATATGTGCATGCATATTAATTTGCTTTCATGTATTAAATTTTTTGTTATAGTGTTTCTTAATTGAGTATGCATAATTAACATTTTTTTGATCAAGATATAATTAACATTTTTGTTATACATTAATTCATGTGTTTCTATTTTCAAACTTCTTGATCTACACACTCGATTTTTTTAGCTCGCACGGTCACACTCGTGTGGTCCTTCAATTCATTGTCTTGAATACTAGTGATGAGATTTTCTTAGTTTAGTTACTTTGTGGAACAAAATGGATAATAGTTTTTCTTGTTGATTGTATGAAACATTACATCGAACAAGAATTTACTATGATTTTATATGTAAATTTATTATAGATGATTTTATGATGTAAAATCTTGTTAGGTGCAATTTTAGATAAAGTTATATTATAACAATATATTTTTTTTTTTGGCATATTTGAATTACATCAACTTTTTTTTAAAAAATGCCCCCTGTAGTCGAATCCGAGCACCATAGCCCTATGCAGTGTATATTCTTGGCTTCGCCCCTGTTTGCAAAGAGACATCCTTTTTTGCCAGAGAAGCAACAAAATTTCTTATTAGATGGACCCAACATAAAACAACCCCCTCTCCCTCCCTTCCTTCCCAAAAATTAGCTCCATCAAATAGGGGTTAAATCGTAGAAAATTTATACCTTTATAGATTGATATTAGTAGGGTTGGATATTGTTCGGTTCAGCTCAATTCTAACATGAATCAAATTGGACTCAAGGTTTTTGGATATTTAATAAGTGGAGTCATCAGATCCAAATTTAATTATAGAACCGTTCGGATTCGATTCATTTCGGTTCCAATGTTCTGTATTATAGTTAAATTTTTTAATATCTACAAAGTGATATTAATTTAACTAATTATATGTTTAATCTTAGCTCTTATAAAATAATATAGTCCAATTTTATGTGTCTTTTATGTCTTTCTTTACTGAGTTCTTCATAGATTTGATCGTTAAAATTACAGAAAGAGGAAAATAGTAAGCTCAAAATAATTAAGAAAGACATTATCGAACTTCAATTCGATTTCTCCAGAACGGTAGAAATGACACTACGATAGAGTAATAAATTTAGATAAAACTTAGGCTAATTTGATTAAATTGATTTTGAATTGAGAATTAAAAATAGAAAAATCATATTTTTAGGTTTGAACTAAATTAACTAATTAGCAAATTTATTTAAAAAAATAAAATAATTTGGTTTATTTAAAATAAATTAATTAAAAAAATTAGAGAGATTTGATTCTTATTTGATTTTTCGATTCTTGATGTAGAACTGAAAATCGAGCCAAACTAAACGATTCTCAATTCAGAAACTCGTTCGAGCATTTAACTTAAGAAGAACCGCTCGATTTGATTCGGTTCGGGTTTGGTTCGGAAGATACTAGTTTAGATTATGGGGAGGGGGGGGGGGGGGGGGAAGAA